TTTTTTTTTTTTTTTTTTTAACTCTCTCTAGATTACTCACATTAATTTTGTGTGTTTTGGAAACACCAGGCCCTATGAATATGTAACACTGTTCTTTTTTTTTAAATCCTCACAAGATGATATTTTTTCCATTGTTTTTCAGAGAGAGCTGAAGGGAGAGAGACAGAGAGAGAGAGAAACATAGATGTGAGAGAGACACATAGATGGGTTGCCTCCCAAATGCACCCCAACTGGGGCCAGGGATCGAGCCTGCATCTGACGGACGTGCCCTTGACCGAAATCAAGCCCGAGACCCTTCAGCCTTCAGGCCGATGCTCTAACCCCTGAGCCAAACCGCCCAGGGAAACGTCCTTCTTAATTCAGCTCCGGGGGACCAGGCACACGCGGTGCAGGGTGCGACCGGCCACCCGGAGTTCACCAGGGGCTGGGATTTTTAGCTGCGTCACTTTTCGGGCCCAATAATGAGCCGTGGAGCTCTGCTCCGGCCTCACGAACGTTTCCACATCGGGTGTCATCAGCAGGGAGGTGATGCCAGGAGGCAGTGAATGACTTTGGGGGGCGACAATGAGATCACGGCTCACCCCTTAGAGAACAACTGGAATCCACAGGGGGAAATAGGCTAAACGTGATCAGCTCTGACACGTCCGTCGCCGTGGGGTTAAGCCGGCTAAGGGAACAGCTCTGACTCGTTCAGATCCGCAGACGCCTTCCCGTCCCTTACAGACACAGCGTAAGCCATCCGGGGGCGATGACGGCCTGTGGGGACAGGCCCACACGCTTAACTCCGGGATGCTGCTAGGCGCTGGTTCAGATCTGCCCCGTTAAGAGGCCAACAGCAGCACTGTCTTTCCGGCCCCCGGTCTGCGGGGCGGGGTCAGTGACCGGGAGGACCGGTGCCTGACCGGGACACGCACCCTGCAAGCGGGGGGACCTGACGGGAAAGCTCCGAAGCCCCCAGGAGCCACAAAAGCACGAAAAGGTGGGAGGTCCGACCACTAAGCGCAACAGAGAAGCAACATCTCCTGAGAGTTGGAAGAAGGCGAGTGAGTTAGGGGAAGAAATGCAGGAGCATGTTCTGAAAGGAATAGATGCAGGATTGTCTCCCTCCAGAAGGAAGTGTTTTCCAGACCCTTTATTTACTTTATTTAAAAGTACACATTTGATGCAAATTACATTTCTTTCCTCTCTTCCTCTAAACCTCCTGGTGTCACAGCTCAGCCTCAGGACTGCTTGCCCCAGGGTGCCCCGTGGGGAGCCCGGCCAGGTGCAGCCCGCGGGCGCCGCTCAGGCTCGCTCGCTCCCTTACGTGACCATTTGGGGCCACGCTACAGAGGGTGTGGGGTGCGGTGCTTACGACTAAAAGTGACCTCCACTTTCCTTTTGCCCCCAGTCGCTCTATTTAAAATAATGACCACGGCATCTCTCAGCCAGAGGTCCCCGTGTCAGCGGACGGCGCTCGGAGGCTCGGCTCGCCGGCGGTAATTGGGAATTAATGCTCTCCCGGTGAGGGGGCCGCGCCACTGATCACGCGGAGGCTGCCGAGAGGCGGTCTCGCTCCCCCGTCTGGGGGCTCTCATTGCTTTGCCCATAATGCATTTTTCTTTCGACTGGAATTTTTCTCTAATTGTCTCCATTTTTAATCTTCCAGTCGAAAGAAAAATTTTAACTTGTAACTAGAATCTGTAAAAACTCATGTCTCTGTCTCAAAACCTGAACTATAATGTGGACACCATAAAACACACACGTGATGCCCAGATACGTGTTTTTAGAGAGCCTGGCTTGTGAATGATTTCTTTTTTTACTCAGATAAAAGAGAAACCCATTTGGTTCTCTGAGAGATCACAACGCGTTGAATGGTCCGCAGGAAAACATTCACGAGTCTCCTCCAAACACGTTTAACTCGGAAGCGTCGATGATGTGATTTTCTTTCCTACAGCAAACTATTTTGTTTGTTGTTTTCATCTTCATTTGGGTATATTTTTTCCATTAATTTCTAGAGAGAGTGGAAGGTAGGGAAGGGGGGAGAGAGAAACACTGATGTGAGAGAGACACGCTGACTGCTTGCGCCCCGACCGGGCCGGGGATCGAGCCGGCAACCCAGGGGCGTGCCTTTGGCCGGAATAGAACCCAATACTTCTGACAAAATCCAGATTTTACGTTGTGTCAAACCCTTCATGGGTAAGAATTCTTCCGTCTGGAAGACTGACCAGCTTGTATCTTGACGCTGACCTTGACGTGCTCATCTAGACAAGGTCATCTGGCCTTGGCCTGGTTTCCGAATCGTGACGTAGGGGTCACTTGTGTCAATGGTCAGAACTCTGAGTCTCGAGCCACCTGGACCAGAGAGATGTCCTGACCACAGTTTCCTTTGCAACTTCTTATAAACCTTAAGCTCACTGTCTGCCTCCTAAACTTGTCCACGGGAGACACGGTTTGGTTTCTAGTAAACGTCTTGCGAGCCCTGGCTGGCGTGGCTGGCGCGTCGGCCGGCGCACCAAAGGGTCTCGGGGTTGGTTCCCCTTCAAGGGCACGCACCTGGGTTGCAGGTTTGGTCCCCGGCCCGGGTCGGGGTGCCTGTGGGATGCAACCAGTGGATGTGTCTCTCCCACGTCCGTGTTTCTCTCTCTCCTCCCCCTTCCTCCCTCCCTCTTACTCTCTCGAAAAATCAATGGAAAAAATATCCTCGGGTGAGGGCGGATTTGGTTTTCTGTGTTTAGAGTGTCCGTCGCTGTCTGTCACGTGACGCAAATCCCCACTGTGCCCTCTTTCTGTTGTGTCCCAGGATTTTCTATTAACTTCAGTGACGAACCCACACAAAAGCAGTGGAACAAAGAAGCCCCGCCTGAGCAGTCTCCGTGCAGGCAGGTCACAGCTGCACATGAATGAACGTCCTATAATTTCCGACGTCCTGAGCCGGAGTCCTGAAGAGACAGGATTGTAACCGCAGCATCGTTATTAAGGGACAGAAACCCACAGCCACTCAGGGGAGAGGGTGGCACATTCTCTGTCTGCACACAGCGCAGGAGCGGGACAGCCTGTGAGGAGGCCTGTCGCCGAAAGCAGGGGCCTGGCCTGGGTCTTGGTGGGAACAGAAATCCGCAACTCACTTTCTAGGAACAGACATTGTCGACTGAGGCTTAAACCGGACGGGGGACAGAGGACTCACTGGGAAGGCTGGGTCTGGGACTAACAAGCAAAACCAAAATAAACGAATAAAAAGCCCATGTTAATGTACTCAAGTCCCTTCTTCAAAAGGTTTTAAAGGGCAATTCTTGCCCTGGTCGGGCGGCTCAGTTGGTTGGAAGGTCATCCTGTACGCTGAAGGGTCTCGGGTTCGATTCCTGGTCAGGGCACCCACCTGGGTTGCAGGTTCAATCCCGGGGTGGGGATTATAATGGGAGGCAACCAACTGATGTGTCTCCCATTCTCTCTCTCCCCCCTCCCCTTTCTCTAAAATCAATTAACATATCCTTGGGTGAGAATTTTTTTTAAAAAAGGGCAATTATTCAAGTTATTTTTTGACAGTTCTCTTCATGAATAACAACTTGGCAGCCAGAAGCAAACTTATTTTCTTCAGAGCAGCCCCTAAAGACTCGACGACCTCGAGAGCTTGAGCGTGTCGTTTAACAAGGAGGCGTTTAGAAACCGCAGTACCCGAAACGGGCCAGGGGCCGTCGTAGCCTAACCCGCATGTTCTAACTAAGAGCCGGCCAAGGAAGGTGAGGAATCAGATTCCAAAGCTGCTGGGCTCACGCAGATCAACGAGAAGTCCGCTGAGCAGACCGGCCACGTTGTAACAGCAGCTACCCAACCACACAGACGAGCGGCCCAGCTGAACCTTGTTTCTTGGCCAGAGTAGCCTGTGGTCCTGAGGTAACAGCTGCTTTCACTCCGAAGTTGAGCTGGAGACGTGATCTGGACGTGGCTGGTGACGTGGCTGGTTCAGACGTGGGTGGCTAGTTCCTCCCTGGCCACTCCCTTAGTTTTCATACTCAACGCTCACCGAGGCATTTTTAGGTAGAGTTATTGTATCTTTTACCATCAAGACGTCAGCATCCTTGTCAAAGCAAGTTATAGACTAAGATACCAGAGACAAACAGGGCCCGAGAGACGACACATTCCTAGGAATGGCATCGAGAATTTCAAAGGGGAAAATTGCTGATTAAAATGCAAGTGAAACCCTAAGATTTCTGTTTATCGACCACAAGGTGGTCTACAATATTTTGTGATTTTTAAAGAAATATTTCAGTTAAACTCTCAATTAGCAAAAATGTTAGCAGGTGATGATGCTGCAACCTAAGTATTTTGCGTCAATAAAAATTCATGATTCACCAACTTTAGTTGTGTGTGTTTTTTTATACAAATGTTACCTTTTCTGTAGTTCGTATCATTTTGCATATCGGCTCATCTACTTACGTTTCACATTTAGTGTATCTTATGCCTCTCCCGTCACTAAAATGTAGCCCCACGAGGTAATGGGCTTCTGTCTGTTCCACGCACAGAAGAATCCAATTCCTCGGATGGAGCTAGGCGGGCAGGAGGCTCTCGATCAGCATTTATTGAACTAATAGATGAACGGATGGTTCTCTGTGATACATACTGATTAATGGGAAAGGCACGCTCCTGTCCAGCTTATGGGAAACACTTTAGCTTCCCATTTCTGAAACGTCAGTACATTTTCTAAAATCACATAGAGCACCGTGGTTATCAACTTCATTTAAAACCGAATATCCCAGTAGTGAACTCACCTGTCTACGTAGTTCATGTATCAAGAAAAATCAGAATCAAAATATTTATCCTCTCACTATCTCTGTGCCCTGCTTTCTATCTCCTAGTGACTCAGCCCCACCCCCAGGATACTAAACACATTTTTTCTAATCACATCTTATACAAAATGCATTCTGTCAGGACATACTTCACTTTTCAGGGAAAACAACTAGAAAGGAAGATTTGAGGGTACTCCACCCGAAGGTGTACGAGCGGATGAGGGAATTTCTTCAAGGGAAATGTTATAGAAACAGAGAAGGGGTCGGGCTGGGCAACGAGAGCCAGTGAACGGATGGAATCGAGAAAACTGGGAGGGTGATGATGGAGGGATTCAGAGCCTTGAGGTGTGTGAAGCTCTGAACTAACTGTATAGGGAATTTAATGGAAAATTTTTTTTAAAAAGATGAATAAAAACGGATGCTGACTGGCACCAAGGCCCAGCTGACATCACACACCAAGAATTTGGGGTAAATCCAGTGGGCAGAGTTACCTGAATCTCTCTAATAAGATTCAGCAGCCCAGAAGAACAGAAAATGAAAGGTTACATTGACCCAGGAGGGTCTGTAAGTCCTCAATGGGAACAGGGAGTGGCCCCCAGGTTTGTTCTCACTTTATAACAGAAGCTTAACCACAGCTGCCACGTGCCACCCTTTTCTCAACAGGCCCCACAGAATGTCCCTGCTGTCACACAGTTTACACTGTATCTGTTAGAAGGGACAGACAGACACAAGTACTACCTGGAGGACCGAAGCTCCACTGTGGAGAAACTGGAGACCGCTCTCGGCCGAGTCGATTCCACCCGTGGCCAGAATGGGAAATCCGGGCAGCGCGCGGGCAATGGCGGTCACGGCCCTCAGGGCGACAGGCCGGATGGCCGTCCCTGCGGGAAGAGAGCGACGGGCGGTTAGCAGGCTGCCGGCTGAGCTACCGTCGTCCAGTCACTGTGATGTGACGGCCCAGTTCAAGTTCCCCGTTTAAGACCTATACACATGTAGCACATAAACATTGTTACAAAGTATATCCATTTGTAGGGGGAGGTATATTTATTTTAGCAACTTGGAGGCTACTGTGGCACGCACTCCATTGTTGCTAAGAGAAGTGTGAGTGCATTTAGCAGGCAGGCAAGTCGATACAGTGTCGAGTTTTAACCTGTTAATAGTTATCTCTGGGGACAGGTTGAAGAGGAACTTTCAATTGGATAACTATACTGCCTATTGCTTGCTTAGGTAAAAAAGTGTTTATCATTCACTTCTGCAAGACCAGGCTCTAAAGCACCAAGCTATAGCTCTTCCCTATTTTAAATGTGTGTAAAATTAAGTTACAGGGGGGAGTTAATTTCTATAACTAATAAAGATAAGCTGCCCATGCATGATAAAACCAAGAATATTAGTGTTACATTAATTATTGGCTAGGAATTTTATTAAAGCTACGGTAGTTGGTAATTGCTGTAACTATATGACCTAGTTTGCCTGAGAGACAGTCCAGGTTGATTATACCTGTGCTTATTTGTAATTACATGATATAATTATAAATAGCCTTCTCTTTCACTCTAAAAGTATCCCAGTTTGGATGGTAAATTATAAGGATAATTATACCCAGGAATCGGACAAAGGTAATCATGAATGCAGAGTGAAAGAGTGAAACCTGATTTAGAACAAGCCACAATCTATGAAAAGCTTAGAAACTATCTACAGCATCCAGGGCTCAGAGGCAGGTGAGAAGAAATAAATGTCCCTAAATGTGTTACTAGAGGGGCAGATACAGGGCCTTTGTCTGTGGCAACAGGGCCTCATTAGTCTGTAGGTTCGTTCTGTTTCCAGCCTGTAGGTGGCCACCACAAGCTACACTGATTAATCCACCCATTAGCAGCATCTTCAATACTGTCATCTTCAGGTAATTAGCAATTTATTTAAACAACCAATTTCTGTAGAAACAATTTCCATGAAATGCCCCGAACCTGCTTTTTTATAAACTAATAAAAGTGTTATGATAACCCCAGGCATTTGCAAATGCCATCAGTTCACCTTTCCTTGGGATAGTGCTGTGGCACTGTTTAAACAGCGACCGGTAACAGCGGTGTCACGCAGCGGCACCGGGAGCACGCTCTTCAGCGCGGCCCGGGAGGAACCCGGTGTGCGGACTGCTCACCCGGAGGAAAGACAGAGCCCAACAGACGGGGGTCGTCGGAATGGGGACATGAGAGCCCCTTCCCATTTGCGGAGAGAAATGAGGCCTGTGAGACAGGGAACCTTCTATTTCCAAGGTAAAGGGGACGGGAGACCGTCCCTGCCACGCACCAGCCTGGAGAAGCAGGCGACCCCTCGGAGCAGGTCTCGGGGTGTGTTGGTCTCTTTGATGTTTCAATCTCCGTGAAATTTTCTCCAAGGCCACTCTTTTTCAAAAGTCACATATATTCCACATGAGCATGTACACACACACACACGGGGTGTCATAACTCTAACCCCTGACTGTGCAAATACAGAGAGAGGGGTCAGGTCGGAACCCCAGCCCTGACTGCGCCCGTGGAGCTGAGCACCGCGCCGGGCAGACAGGCGCGGCTCCCGCAGGCGCCAGGGCCACTGGCCGTTTGCTGACTGTTGTACTAAGTGAGACCCCAGAGGCAAATTTCAAAACCATCACCAACTGATCACAAATGTTGTCACCAGATAACGAGAGTTTCTGTTTCTGCATTTTATGCCCAAAGTACTATTTGAGTGTATCTTTACCTCTCCAAAACCAAGAGCAAGCACCCTGGGGTGCTGTGCCCATGAAAACAGTGTTATCATGAATGCATCTTCCCAGCCGAATCTTTAAAGAGCATGTGGCTGTCGCTTCTGTCAAGTCTGTGACGGGTTTGCGATGAAACACCCTCTCTCTCTCTGCCACGTCTCTGATCACTGATGTTTCCCGATGACATTCCAGGCTCTTGTCAAACGGAGGTCGTTACTTTGTTGCTTGGCGGAGATACTCAAGCCGAACTGGAGCGGGTGCCAGCCTGTGCGGCTCAGCTCCTTGCCCAACGGCACCGGGCTGGTCTGTGCGCGTGGAAAGGGGACGGCCCGCTAGCAGGACCCGCTTGGTGGAAAAGCTCTGCAGTCGGCATCTGATGCCCACATCTGAGCCGGACGCCGCATAGGGTTTCCTCACTCGTAGCTGCTCGGTTTACATTGTTGCCGCAAGTGTTTCCTCACCCGAGTGCTTAAATCGTGCGTATGATTCCAAGTAGCACGGGCCGTTCAGGATTGGGCACGGCCGCCGCAGGTGTGCAAAGCCCACTTCCAGAAGCGTGGCTGGAACCTGGCTTCCGAGCCCCAGCGGGAGAGACACGCTTGGTGACCGGGCACCTTTGCCCAAACTGCTACATGTTGCTTTCTCAGCAGAGCTGAGACCTTGTAATTGTGCAGAAGCTGCTGATGGAAATCATATTAGACTGCACCAGTCTTTCAAATCTTTTCAAGAATATCGGCCATGAGTGTAAGGAGGGCCAGTGGCCACAGTGCACCCCTTCTTTCCAGCACTAATATTTGCTTACCCTAGGCAGTGAGAATGACGGTGTGAGGACCGGCAGGCTCACAGGCAGGAAGCGGCTTGAGAAAGGTCTGTTTACATTCTGGACGATCATTTATTTGTGAACTCCAGACTACAAATCGTAAGACTCCCAGGGTTCTTACTTCCTAAATGTTCAACTGCTATAGGGCAGCTCTTGAAACCTAAAATTTGCAAATGACCAAGTATTTAAAAGTTTCAGGGGGAACAATGTATGCTCCGTATCTAGCACAAAACACACCAGAGGAGCATCTGCGACTGCCAGAAAGGGTTAGCACGCCAAAGACTGTGGGCAAACAAAATGCTAACAAGTTTAATTATTCACAACGGCCCATTTATGGAGAATATAATGTTGCAATCAATAATTACAAGCCCATACAAACAGCACTGTAATAATTCTACAAGGCATGTTTGCCAGTGAAATAATTTAGAATTTGAAATCAATAGCATTTATAGACATTGGAAAATGTCAAACGGAAAATGAAGGCCAGTATTTCTATTCTTTCTGGAGCATTCTTACTACTCGGATTTTAATTACTCCTTAAAAGACTTCCTGGTACCGAAAACAAAAGCAAACATTTGCCCTTTTGTGTCTTTATTAACTGTTTCCATGGATCTAGGCTGGTCAGGGGGCTGCTCCATGGACTTGTGATGAGGAGTCTCCACGGGAACTTGGCTCCTTCAGGCCGCGCCCCTCCTGCCACGGCCCCTCCGCTGGGCTGCGCCCTGATTCTCTCACAAGGATCTTTTCTGTTCTTCATTAGCCTCCAAAATAAAGGCTTCAGCACAAATACTTTCTACCACAAGGTATTATGTTGGTAAATTCTTAAAACACTCCTTATAATAAAAAATAACAGAAATTGGGTGGGTGGGTAGGGTCTATGGAAATTCTACGTACTATCTTCTCAACTTTTCTGTAAATTCAAAGTCATTCCAAAACAAAGTTTTTTTTAATCCCTTATACAACATTTGGGTTCTTCTTGCTCTTATAAAAATAGCAGTTTGTCTGTATTATTTGGCACAGACAAAGACACAAACTGGTGATATTGGAAATAGATTTTTAAAAACACAGCATCGATAGTGTTTATTAATTGCCATTTCCTGCTAAGAGTAAGAGCAGTAATAATAGCTGTCTTCTATTGTACTCTATTAAGGCTTTTACGTTATTTCATTTGAATCTCATAAGATCCCCAGCAGCCATCGCTTTTAATGTTCAAAATGGTTGCTTATCCTGCTCCGTGATAGTAAAAGGAAGGTCCCAGATTCAGTGGAAATCTGCTGACCCCCCTACCGGAGCTGCTCCCCACATGCCTCCCGACAAAAAGTTAGTGTTTGCGGGCAGGACTTCTGTTCATGCAAATATGGTCCTAGGGACTGTACTAGGTTATATATTCGTAAAAGTGCTCAAAATAACCCTGCAAACAAGCTGCTGTTAGTCCTAAAAACAAAAGGACAAACCGAGACATTTTCTAGTAAAAGCTGTTCTAGTTCTAAAAGTATTTTACTGTCAACTCAACTCTAGTCTTTGCTGACACTTCATGTGTCTGACAAAAGCGATGTATTTAACCATGTTTTCCATTAATAGTGTGATGCCCAATCACCTCAGGTATCACCAAATTACCTATCAAGTAAAAAAGAAAGGGCAGAAAATTTAATTTCAGGTTATTTCAGAAACTATGGCAACCGTGCTGTTTGGCAGTCGAAGGGTGTAAAATCCAGATTAGATGGATGGATATATTTACATATTCCCTCTTACATTAAACAGAGTGGATGACACATCCCTGTAAAAAATCTATTATTTAAACATTTCAAGTGAAAAGTGTTAAAATAAATGGCTCATGACTTATGAAGTGTTAAAATAAACGTTTATTTCAACACTATACATGTCATAAGCCATTTATTTCAACACTCGCTCCTTCAGAAGATTCCCCCAGACAAAGAGGAAAGGTTTCATTTGCTCGGGGTACGTCGAGAGGCCCGACACAGGCTAAAGCGCGAGTTCCGATGCCCTGCGGTGAGGGGAGGCCGCGCGCAGGCTTCTCGGGAGCTTCGGTTTCCACTCGGGCCAAAGCTC